GTCTCAAGTTGAAATGTCAAAGGATTACATGGACAAAATAGTGAAATAATGCAGGTAATATCAAAAAAGGATGAAAGGAATACACAGAGTCACTGTGCCCCCAAACTTGATCAATATTCAACTATTTCAGGAGCTAGCACCTGATCAAGAGCATTGGTATCCACAATCTCGGGGGACACCAAGGTCTACTGACATAATGTAGTTCACAGAGATGATGTCCTACAGCCTACTTGGGTGACTAGCCCCAGTAGTGTAGTGTTTATTCAGTGGGCTGCGATCCACAAGGTCAGCGGTTTGAAACTCCTTGGGAGTAAGATGGGGCTTCCTACCCCTGTAACAGGTTACAGTCTCGGACACTTACAGGGGCAGTTTGATAATGGCAGAGATTTTGATTTTGAGTGAACGTAAGGCGGTATCTCCTTGTGGTTTTGACTTGTTAGTTCTAGTGACTAATTTGAGCATCTTTTCATGTTTATTAGCCATTATATAGCTTCTTTGGAGAAATGTCAATCGAGTGATTGACTTCGGAATGTGGCATTTACGATATCACTGGGAAGGTTCTGAATTTACTGGTTAAAAACAATTTCCAACACCTCTTTCAGTGCGGCTTTCAGAAGATGAATATTTTGGGAGGAGGCCAGGTGAGGTAGAGCTGGCAGATGAGTCTCAGCCTGTGGCCAGACAAGAAGAAAGGAGATTTGAGTATTGAGATGAAGTATGGTCTACATCACCCTGTTGCCCCACATCAGTCTACCTTAGGAATATTTCATAATTGGTGCCATCTCGTCAGTTAGGCTCTTTACCTGAAGGCGATCTGGCAGATGGGAGCAGCTAAGATAAATTTGTGCCCTCAAGTTCCATATGCTCAATTGAAGTCAGTGCAAACCCAAGGTGAGAAAACACATCATCTGAAAATTTGTGGGTTAAAAATGTTGGCATAAAGGTGTAATGGTGCTGGCAAAATCTGAGGTGGAGTGGGGGGTCCTTGGAGTGTTCAGCAATCAAGCATTCTTTCTCAGGAATAATACTGCAAAATACATGTAAATTCTAGTCCGAGGCTGTTTGCTCTTTTCTTTTTTTCTTCCCCTGATGGACTGGCAGAGGCTATGAACAACAGAACGAAACACCGCCCAATTCTGCACATCGTCACAACTCTTTCTCTGTTTGACCCACTGCTGCAGACACTGTGTCAATCCATCTTGTCGAGGGTCTGCCTCTGGTGTTTACCCATCTGCTACTTTACCAAGCCTGATATCCTTCTTTAGTAACACAGGTAATTCCAGACCAAACCCAAGCCAGGTCCGCTGCCCTTCGGTCAATTTAGATTCATAGCTTTCCTGGAGGGCAAAGGAGGGCTGTCCCATTGGAGTTTCTTTCCTTTTGTATCTTTTTAAAATTAATTAATTATTTAAAAAAATGTGAATCCTTTTATTGAGGGCTCTTATAGCTTTTATCACAATCCATCCATCCATCCATTGTGTCAAACACATTTGTACATTTGTTGCCATTATAATTTTCAAAACATTTTCTTTCTACTTGAGCCCTTTATATCAGCTCCTCATTTTTCCCTCTCCCCCACCCTCTTCTCTCCCTCACGAACCCTTGATAATTTATAAATTCTTTTTTCATGTCTTACATTGATCACTGTCTCCCGTCACTCACTTTTCTGTTGTCCATCTTCCTAAGAAGGGGTTATATGTAGATCATTGTGATCGGTTCCCCTTTTCTTCCCCCACTTCCCCTTCTGCT